GGACCAGAGTGAACAGACAACTTTGTGGAACCAGCGGGTCGTGAAGCCCACATTTGCAGAGATCCCACAAAGAAGCCACGGTCACCAACTGTCACCTGAGTGGTAGTCGTGTGCTTTCTACTCTGGGTGCAGAAGAAATGGGGAACAGAGGCCACCCCAGACAAAAGGAAGATATGGAGACTGCCACCTTCCCTGGACAAGCGATGGGACCCGAGCCCTGGGGGTGTGTGATGCTCAGGGGGCTGCATGTACCCTAGTGTTTACACTCTACTTGTGACTTCCTGGATTTCAAGCAGTTGGAGACCCGGGGAGTGGGGGGGATTCAGAGGCACAAAGCTGCCACAGCTGCCACATGCCCCCTTATTTTATGCTGGCTAGAGAGGCTGAGGTGAGAACCCTCAGCACGTGCCCTTGAGGACCTCATCTCTGAGGGGTGGCAGGACTTCCTCGGGGAGAAGGAGAGGCACCTGGAGATTTGATCCCACCAAAAGTGCTTCCTTCCTTGCCTGCTTGGAAAGCTGGCTGTGCAGCTGGCTGCACACAGCACATGTGTTCTCAGAGCTCCTAATAATACAAAATTAAAATAAAAGCCCAGCTGAGGCGCTGCCCAGCGCCAGGCAGAAATCAGTGTGACCTGATGGCATGCGAGGTGCCCTCCTTCCTGGCACCCAGTGACACTAGCTCTTCCCTCTGCTGTTCCAGCTTCCTGTTGTGACGATGCCCTGAGCCCTGGCATTAGACGGAGCTAGATACACCTGTGGAGACCCCTCTCCGAGCTCCTGTCCTCATTCCCAGCCTCGGACAAGAGCCCAGGATGGCAGGACTGTCACAGCATGACAAGACGATATTCCTCCCTGCAAGAGTCTGACTCAGGTAAGCGGCCACCTGCATTGCCACAGGAGCTGGGTCCGTCCTGGGGTCCCCACGTGTGGAACAGCCCAAAGGGAACGCTGCATTTCCACTTTGTGACCCCTCCCACCCCTCGCAGATGGGCCGGCCCTGTCACGGAAGCCACCTGAGGCTGCTGGCTGGACATGAGCGGGTCCTCTTCTCTGCATCCACCCGCTCGCTCACTGTTGCCACGCATCTAATTCAGTTTAGCTAGTAATTAGTTTTGTATTACTTTACACGGCGATGTTACTACTGATTACAGGGTCTGATAACTTTAGTAATAAATACAACCCAAGGCAGAAAATTACCTTGCTTTGGATCGGGGAAGTCAGTGGAATGAGAAGTTCACGGCTTCCACTGAAGCAGCTGCCCTATGCGGAGCGTTTATAGAGTCCTGCCCCCTGGTGTCACAGACACTGTCCCCTTCCACCATGGGGTCAGGCCTGGGCTCCTGTCTCATGGGCCTGGGCTTGTTACACCCAGAGGCAGCTGCAGCCCCAGAATGGTGGGCAACTCCAGGGCAAAGACTGCACCCCTGAATTCGGTAGGTTCCGCCCGAGCTCCCCACTCCATGCCACCCATACCACTCGGCTACCCATGCACAAGCTGGGGTAAGGGACTGGCAGATGGGTGGCCGCTGAGGCTCAAGCTGGTCACCATGGGGAGCTGTTTCTCTGCCTTTACTTTGTCCATGGCAGTGGGCGGAGAGGCCTTTGGCTCTGGGATAAGAGAGAAGAAATGGGGATCCCGGCCTCACCAGGGTGGAGAAGCGAGGTCAGCATCCCCTCTCTGTCTCCCAGGGGCTGCCCGCATCTCCATGCAGGCACCACGCCTGGCAGAGGGCTTGCCACTGTAGGCCAGGCACACAGCAGTCCCTCCAGTGAGCCCAAAAGCAAACAAGCCGGCAGAACCGTGAGCACCCTGGAGAGCTCTGTGCATTTACAGCTGGGGCCTTGCCGGGGCATAAGGGGTGTTAAGAAAGCCTGCACCTGGCTCGTGGCTATCGAGAAGAGCCACTTCCAGCTTAACTGCAGGTGGGAAAGTTGGGGTTCCAGACCCTTCTTCAACAGCAGCCTCTGTCTGCACCCCTGTTCCTGACCCCCTCCTCCATCTTCCTGCCTAGGACGCACATGGGTCTGGCAGAGCACTGGGTCTCCTGCAAAGAGCATCACCCCAGATGGCAGTTGGAAAGGGCTCTGACTCGCTGAGTATTGTCAGCTCAGACTGGGTGGGGTTAAGTCCAACCAGCTGGTCGCTGGGAAAGGCTTGTGACAGGGAAGGGTAAATGAGATGACAGAGCCTTACCAGGGCTTGCAGGGCTTCCTTCTTTTAGAAGGGCTGGAGTTAAGCTCAGCTTGGTGAAGCACTGGCTCAAGGTTGCCCAGCTGGAGCCTGATGGGAAGGGGATGGGAGCAAGGGCACCTGGGTTCAAGGTCACAGCTACAGAGTTCCCAGCCCCTCATACCCCAGCACGGATGGGGCCACGCTCCTTGCTCCTGTCTATCTGAACAGAAGACTTGGGGGAGCCACTGGGCTGAAGGTGCGCCCCAGACCAGGAGTCGGGATCTGCCTCACATCCCCCAGGACTGAGACCAACCTCTTAGCATCCTTCTGGGAGGTGCAAAGTGACATCACTTTACCCCTCTGCTCAAGGGCATGAAATGCCAGCCTTTTGTTGAAAATCACAAGGCAAGACCAGGTCCAGGGTCTACCGGGGTGAGGACAAAGTTCATGCAGAACCATGGCTTTGTAAGCTGCAGGCTGTCAATCAGTAGCTGGCACCTGACTGAGCGGCTGCTTGTTTGGAGCTGCTGAGAGGACAGATGGCCCGGGCACGTGCTCGACTCCCCACCTGGCTCTGCGAATCCCACCAGCCACCCGTTGTAAGAGCAGGTAGTGTCCGTATGGCTCTGGTGGGCACCTGCTTCCCCGCAGGCTCAGAGCACAGGATCTCACGTCCCCATCCTAGACAGGAGCTGGGAAGCAGACGAGGCAGAGGGGAGCAGTTTTCCTGCAGTGAAGGTGGGAGCCAGACACCTGGCAGCTCAGTCATGCTTCCCACAGCCGGGGGCCGTCCCTTCATTCACAAATGTGAGCGCACTATGGGCAGCCAGGCAGGCTCCAGGATCCAGAAAGCAAGATTCCTGGGCCGGAGCAGAGCCACCTTAGTGGCCCCTGCTAAAGGTGTGAACTACCTGTCCCAAGCCCGTGGCCCCCAATGGGGGGGCAAGAGTCACAAACATCTCTGCCTCTTTCTTAAGTGTAGGGGTGGGGGGGGTGGTTTTCCACCAGTGAGCTGCTTCTTAAACTCCACTACAAAGGGAGGCATGAGGTTTCCCTCATGCAAGATTCTAAAAGCCTGGCTTCGGGGAAGGGAGGGCTGTGGGCTCGCCCAGGAGGTGGCTCATACCTGAGCCAAGGGACACAGTCCCCAGAGAGACCCTGGCTCAGCTCCCCAGCAAGCAAAGAAAACAACATTTCCCAGCTGCCTGCCAGGGAGGCGGAGGCGAGGAGCTGGCCGGGGTGCTGAAGGCAGCCTCGGGCCTCAGGATAGGCCCCAGGGTGTAGGCATGGTGACCACTACTGCATGGTGAGCACGATTCGATGCGTAGACAAAGCGTCCTGCTGAAGTCGAACCCAAAGTTTCTCCCAGAACATGGGACCTTTTCAAAGACATGAAGGGGAGAAACTTGGTGAGGAAAAAGCACCTTGTGTCCCCTGATGGAAGATTACAGGAGGGCATCCAAGGGCCCTGCGGACAGCCACACACGTGGCCACCAACAACCAGCAGTCTCTTTGTCAAGATGTGTTAACAGAGAATGGCACAGCCCTTTGCAAAGACAGCTTGCTGCTGCTGCTGCTGCTGGGAACCTGGGGGTTCTTTTCCGCACGTGTGTGCACGTGTGTGTGTGAACAGGCACGCATGCATCTATCCACCCAGCACGAGCAGCCAGCACCCCCCCCCCTTCTGACCCTCCCCAGAGGAACCAGGAAACTTCTCTCTCAGAAGCCACGAGGAGCCTTGTGGAGGCAACTGGCTGGCAATCAGCAACACCAGGGCAGGGTGCTAAGGGTTAAGGGGGACAGAACCCCATTGCAGGGTCAGGGAGCACTGGGCTCACTGGGCAGAGCCAGGAGCAGCAAAGACTTGCAGGAAACAAGGGGAGCTTGTTCCAGATCTCTCTCTCTCTCTCCCTCTCTCCCCTCTCATCTCCTCCGGCTCTCCTGCCCTCCCTTCTCTCTTTGTTTCCTCTTTTATTCTGAGAGGGAGCTAGGGAGGGTCCTGGCAGCTGGGCTGGCCGGGTGGAAGGTGCTGGCTGCCACCCCCTCCTAGACTTTTACTCCCAAAGGCCAGACTCTCCTGGCTCAGAGCTTGGCACGGTGGCACCACAGAAAGGGCGTTTTAATGTCACTAACGCGCCCTCCCTACAGGGAGCTCACAGACAGCACTTTCTCCTCCCAGACCTGCCGCTCCGCGATGCATTTTTAAAATGGAGAACAGCAGCCCTGCACACGTACATTGTTCAGGGGATGGCGAGCGCCGGCAATGCCCAGTCGTCCCCGTGCCCACGCTCGCAGAGCTGTCACACACCCCGGTGGCCACAGCCCCCACGCTCTCCACAGGAAGCCAGCGATGCACCGTGCGCTCCCCGCCTGCCCTTGCGGAGCTCTGGGCACAATACCCGCAGCCTGTCTGGGGGCTGGGGGGGGGGGCGCGTGATGCCAAAGACAGGGAATGAGCCACCCCGGGGTTGTGCGCGGGGCCAGGAGTGTGCCCCTTTGCCTCTGGGAACGCGGGGAGGGGGCTCGGTTCAGGGCTCTGAGGCGCCAGGCTCCTCCCGGGTGGCATCGGCAGCCAACCACGACCCCCAGCGCTGCCCTTTGAACTTCTCAGCGGGAGCGGGGTCCAGGGAGCCTCGGGAGAGGGGTCCACAGTGCCAAGGCTGGGGTCCCGGTCTCCTGCCTTCTCGCACCCCTCCCTCACACTCAGGACCAGCGCAGGACTCGGACCCCCTCTCTGAAGCAGGGCAGGGGGCTCCCCGACTTTGCGGGGCTCCCCGGGCTGCCCCGGCGCCTGGCGGGAGGAAAATGGCCTTGGCCGCACGTACTTGGGTGAGTTCCGTGCCCATCAGGATGAGGAAGAGGAGGCTGAGGAGCTTCCGGGCCGGTGGCATGTCTCGCGGCCACTCCGACGTCCTGGCGTGCGGGGCCTGGGTGCTGCCGGCCGGCGGCTGCGTGGACGCGGACGCGCTCCCGGCTCCGGCTCGGCTTGGCTCGGCTCGGCCGCGGATCAGCACCCAGGGCGGGCGGCGCGCGGGCTCTGCTGCGCGGAGGCTCCGCGCCGCATATTTATGGTCCGGGTTCCGGCGGCGCGGCTGCCCCCGGGCAGGGCTGGGCGCGGGGCGGGATTCGCCCTCCTCTCCCCGCGCGCCCGGCGGCCCGAGCTCGGAAGCGCGCGCGCTGTGGCGGTGCCAAAAGTTTGCTGGGGAGGCGCGGGGCGGGGGCGGCGCTGGGGACCCGCGCGCCTGGCTGCCTGGCTTGCGCGGGGACGAGGGAGGAGGGAGGAGGGAGGAGGGAGGAGGGAGGAGGGAGGAGGGCGGCGGCCGGCGGCTGGGGAGCAAGCCGGGAAAGGATGTGACATCAAAAAGGCGGGGGAATTGAACTGGGGCCCAGAACAATCCGTCCTGGCCGGCCTGGACCGAGGGCGATGGGGCCTCTGGGACCCACTGACCCCAAGACGGCAGCTAGTGGACCCCGGATGGGAGGAGAAATAGCGCCCCGGGGAGGCTCTGGGTTAGACAGGATTGCACAGAGTAGAAGCTAAACAGGTCCTGAGTGAAGACCCTCAGAAGGGGGAAGCTGAGACTCAGTGCTGGGCGCGCCTTTCCAGGAGCCAAGGCCAGATCCCTGGTCCTTTGTGCACGGAGGGAGGGACCTCTCCCTGGCCCAGTGCTGTGGGGTGGAAGGGGAGCCGGCCCTGGGCAGCTGCTGGCTGGAGCCTGGATGAGGACCTGCGCCTGTGGGTGGTGGCTGCAGCGCCTGGCTGGGCACCACGTGCTCACGAGGGCCCCTGCCATGTGCCTCAGCTGATGACAGCTCTGAGGGCCTCCAGGCCTCACCTGAACAGGGAGCCCAGGAGAGGAGCCCTCCCACCGGGCCAGCCTTCCAGAACCCCTGGCCCAACCTGTTCTTATACCCTGGGTCCCAATGCCCCTCTCCTCACCAGGGTGGACATGTGGTCCCCATTCCTGCCCTCTCTGCCCCCTTCCTCTAGCTTAAGCCTTCCAGCGTGAGGAGTCCGATTGTATCCAGCTACTCCTGGGCATGGTCCTCACCTGCATGCCTGGAAGGCGAAGCTGCAGTAGGCTTTGGAAGGGCCTAGCTGGCTGGCTTTAGTGTAACTTCTTGAAAGAAACTCTGGAGCTGGGCATGGTGGCACACACCTGTTGTCCCAGCACTCGAGAGGCTGAGGCAGGAGGATCATTGTGAGTTCCAGACCAGGCTGGGCTACAAAGTGAGTTCAAGGCCAGCCTGAACTGCATAGCAAGACCCTGTCTCAAAAGAAACTTGAGAGACCCAGACTCACCATCTCCTCACAGCAGGCAGAGCTGCGGGGTGCCAGGGTCTCCCCTTTGTATGTCACAGGTGAGGACATTGGAGCCCCAGTAATAATGGTAAGGGGTGTTCCAGGGCACACAGGGAGTTCAGAGCAAGGCCTAGATCCAAGCTCCTGAGGGCATCCTGGGGACCTGGCCATGTCCACCTTGAGCAACGGATTCTTCCCTCTCAGAAAGGCTTTAAGCTCAGAGAGCAGAGAGAGCAGGAGTGGGCCAGAGTTCTGGGGTGCAGGGCACCCCTGCCCTTCTGCTTCTGAGAAGAGTTGGTGCCAGGAGGGGGGAGCACTGTGGGGGTTCTTTTCCCTTTGCATCCCCTCTTTTTTTCTAACCCACAGTGATTTTTTTCTAACCCAGGTGTTCTCATGCGCATCTGAAGAAGGCCAGAGCTTTGTGAGGCTTCTTGGCTTTCAGGGACCACACGAGGGTTGGTGAGGGGCTGCTGTTTGTCCCAAGCCTCAGTTTCACTTCTGCATAGCGGGAATGTGTGGCATGGGTCCCGTGTGGCTCACCAGTGGTTGAGATCAGATGCAGCAATGGGTGAGCCTCTCAGGACCTCAGAAGGACCCAGGGGCTCTGAGCACGTGCCGAGAGCCTCCAGCGCCCTGGCTTCCCCTCCCACCTTTACAGCCGTGCTGGGGTGGAGCAGGAGACAGAGGCTCAGGGAGTCCCATGAGCCAATGCAGGTCCTGGAGTCAGGCTGTGAACCTCTGCCTTTGGGATTCTGTCTCTGTGGCATGGGGGGAGAGGGGAGCTGTCAATTTCCTCCAGTTTTAGCTAGAATTGTTTTTACTTTTATAGTTATACTAGGACCTGGAAACTCAGGTCTTTACCACTTGAAGGCAGGGCCTAGAATGCTTGTTTGCACGCTCATGTTCAGAGCAATGTCCTCCACAAAGGCCAGAAAGTGGAGATACCAAAATGTCCCCCAAAAGAGGAATGGATAAAGGTCTGTCCACCTCTGCGTGTTTGGTGGAATATTACTCAGCAATGAAAAGAAAAGACATTTGACATTGGGGCAACGATGGTGTTGAAGTAACCTGGTCACAAGAGGACAGATGTCGTGTCCACTCCTAGGAGAGACCCAGGAGGATCACACAGACCACAGAGTCTCAGGGTCTGGGGGAGGCAGGACCCAGGATGACTGCTTCATGGGAACAAGTTTATGTTTGGAGTGATGGAAAATTCTGGAAATCAGTGGTAGTGATAGTTGTCCAATGATGAATGTCTTTCATGCTACTGAGTTAGGCACACTTAAAAACTGTGCACTTAAAATTTTATTATATCGCATGTCTTTTAACGTACTTCAAAAAATATTTTAATATTTACCAAAACCCAAACCACTAACTTGTATACTTAAGTAGGTGCTTTATAATGTAAGTTTCAGCTACATGAAGCTATTTTTTTTTTTAATTTTAGTGGTAGGATTATGCTTCTTCAAAGTTAGGGCACAGAGAAGTGGACAGGGAGAGCCTGGAGTGGTCAGCTGTGCCAGCCGTGACACGGATGCTGTCCTGTGTGAGTGGCCAGGAGGATAGAAGGGACAAGGGCAGGGTGCTGGGGCCTAAAGGCACAGGTAGCCAGTGCTCAGGAGCTGCCGGGACCCTGGCAGTCACCCTGCTCTGTGCCTGTCACCTCCCTGTGAGTGTGATGGTGACAAAGCCCCGCAGGTACCTAGGACAGAACCTGATGGCAAGATGAGTGAGGTTCTCAGAGAAGGACGAGTCCCTGCTTAGAAACGGGGTCCCCCTACTGAGCAATGACCTGTGTTTGCCAGTCATCTGCCACACACCCCTGGGTACTTTTTCTTATTAACTTGATTATTTTTGGCCAATCTTTTTGGTTTTAATTTTTACTTTAAATGGATGTGTGATATAGTGGTCTTTTTGCTCAGGAATTTAATTCATTCGGTGGTTCTGGGGAAGATGGCTGAGGTCGTGTTTGTCACCTGATGTGAAGTTGGGGAAGGGAAGCAAAATTGTGTCAGACGCTCCCGTTCACAAGCAGAATTGTCAGGGAATCAGGATGTTGCGGAACTTCCTCTCCAGACAGAGTGCTTGAAATGTCTGATACAGTGGGAATGCCACTTAAATTCTCACTACAATGCATCATTTAGGAAATAGCAGAAGGAAAGAGTCCAGGCACATTCCCGACAGACGCAATTTCCCACCCAGCTCTTTTCCCTCAGACAGTTTGGAACCTGCAGAGACAGCTGAATTTCAAGAAGAAAAACCAAAGTAAAAGGGACACAGCTGCTGACTCCCTGGGAGAGCATCTCAGATGGACCAGGGAACCTGGACTCACCAGGAACTCGTTGGGGCTGGATGCCTTTCTGCTCTTCCCCATTTGACCAGCTCAGCCACTTCTGGGTGGACAGCTGGACAACATCATATTTGCATCACCCCTGGCCAGCCCTGTGCTTCTCTGATTTGTGTTGTCAGAGTTCGTGGTCCTTCTGTTCACTCCCGCCTGCCCAGCTGTGGTCCAGTGGCCCCTGCTGAGGACTGAGCTTGGTGTGGTGCCCATTTCTGCTGGCCAGCTGGCCTCCCCAAGTGCCTTCTGGCCAGCTGAGTTCCAGTGCAGTGTGCCCATCCCCAGTCCCTGGCCTCCCACTGGAGCATCACAAAGCCTCTCTGGCAGTGGCCCTGGTGAGGCCTGGACTCCAGGGCTCATACCCTTCGGGTCAGCCGTGCCTCTGTCCACAACCCAGAGGCCTGGACTGCTCCAGGGTACAGGCCAGCAGGTGCTGAGGCATCAGAGCTACTGTGCTCCTGGGCTGGCACAGCTGGTGCCCACTCCCCTGCTGCCATCTCCCTGTGGATGGGGCCAGCGAGTGCCAGGGAGCAGCCACTTTCCTGCTGAGACTCCTGGGGACCTTGGAGAATCGATAGGCTCCGTGCTCCTTTAAGACCGGCCTCTTTCTACCACTGAGCCTCATTAGGATGTGACAGAGCGTTGCCAAGGCAACGGCACTAACTCTGCATCCTCTGTGTGAATTTCCAGCAAATGGGGCCTGAAACCCATGGAGTGGCAGAGATGCCTGTACCCAGAGCCTTCAGGTCCTCAGCCTGGTCCTCTCAGGGACTGCTGAGTGGACACTGCCCACCATCCTCAGCCTCTCTGGGCCCCTGGCACCTTGCGGAGCTGGGGATAGAGAACCAGAGCTGTTTCCTGAGAACCCGCTGTTGATCAGCACTGTTCTCAGGCTGGCACCATGGTTCTCGCACGCTAGGCAGAGCCCTGGCCACGCTTGGCTCTTGGAGAGGCTTCTAGGCCCTATCACCAGACACCGAGGATCAGATATCAGCTTGGCTCTGCTGCAGGTGTGAGGTCTCCATCCAAGGTTCCTCCGCCTCCCCCCTTCACTGCCAGCCTTCCAGGACATGTTGCTGTTCCCCACCTTCAGCCCAAGTGCCCTTTCCTCTCCCCTCCAGCCCACCCTGCTCCCCTGCAGAGGCCGGGAGCCAAGCCTGCCAGTCTTCATATCTTTGAGGCTGCAGCCCCGACCCGTCTCCCCACAGCCTCTCCGGAGCCCATGCTTGGAACTGCTGTGGGCAGGTTTCAGCACTGCCCCTGCCTCACAAGAGCACATCTGCAACGAGGACGGTGTCTCCTCTTTCTGGAAGCCACCCCTGGGCCCAGCCTGGTCTCTCTGTGCTCCACAGCACCCCCCCTTCACTGTCCCCCATTCTAAATACCGGGGTGATGGGGGGCCCAGGCCTCGATGTCCCCAGCAAGTGACCACAGTTCAGGATCAAGTGGTCAGCCAGGCTGCCCTCCTTGGGGGCTCCCGAAGAGGACTCACTTGCCCGCTCTAGCCCCAGTGTCACTCACTTGCGACTGTCTCGCCCCAGTCTCAAGGCTGGACCTGTCCCCACCCCACTGCTTGTATCAGGCCTGCACC